GTAGATTCGAGCGGTGGGGCATAGGTCCAAGGCTTTACAACATTGTCAAGGCCTTCATAACCAATCGCTCTTTCAGGGTTCGAATAAACAATGTCACCTCGAACTCCCACATCTTGCACAACGGAATTGCTCAGGGCTCTCCACTTTCTGTAGTCTTATTTATGATAGCTTTTGAAGAAATCAACAGCATTTTATCGCGACATAAAAAGATCCATATATCAGTATATGCAGCCGACGCAATCATTTTCACAAATACACAAAATATCAACACTGTTAAAGCAAAATTTTTGGAAATACTGTACGAAATTAGCTTGTGGGGAGCAACCTCTCTTGATATTGATAAATGCCAGCTACTACATATTTGCCGCAAACACCGAAGTAACCTTTCCGACTTAGACTTTAACAACCACAAAATAAAAAATGTCAACTTTTTAAAAATGTTGGGTATAACCTTCGACTCGAAACTTCTTTTCCATCAACACTGTAAAATTCTTAGACAACAACTTGAAACTAGATTTAATATTATTAAATTCCTATCATCTAAATACACTTGCATACACACTAAGACTCTTTTAGACATTACGCGCGCTCTAATGCTCTCAAAAATAGACTATGGCCTGCCAATCTTCGGTTGGTGTGCCAAATCGCACCTAAAAAGAATTCCAGTGCCCTATCACTGGGCAGTGCGCCGCGCCATTCATGCATTTTCCACCTCTCCAATACCATGCACATTGGCAGAGTCCGGTCTACCGAGTATTCAAACAAACTACGATGATGCTCATCCCAAAGCTATACACCTCATCAAACCCCCTACCATTTTCAAGCAAAAACGGAATTACAAATGTATATCCACACTGAGACGTTGCGCCAGCTACATCGAACAGCTTGACCTACCCCTACCCAAGCCCAGGAAGTCTTTTAAATCGCCAGCATATTGGGGCTCCAAAAAGTAACATAAACACTGAAATCTACAACGGTGCTAAACAAGAAACTTGTCCTCAAGAATTCCAAAAACGATTTTTGAGTGTACAATCAGATATGGGGCACAAAACCTGGATTTTCACCGATGGTTCTAGAGTCACCGACTCGACCACCTTTGCTGTGGTTGACTGCAACCAAAAAATGATTGCAGGAGGAAGGCTTCCGCCCTACAAGTCCATTTTCACTGTCGAAGCTTTTGCTATATTAAAAGCATGCTTTCGCCTCTAAGAACACTGGACAATTTGTATCTGCACAGACAGCTTCTCATCTATATCCGCCCTACGCAACGTAAAACACAAGGATCCTACAATACAGGAAATACGGCACATTCTAAGTTCACATCCAACAAAAATCACCACACTTTGGGTACTTTGGGTACGACAAGGCCGTCCAAGAAATAAGACATGCACCTTCCTTTCTTTTTACCCCTTTTAATGCCAAGGACATACAAAACCAAATAAGGCTACGCCTAGAAGAAAAGAAAATCTCCGAATGGGCACTCTTTGTGCACAGATATCAAACAATAAACCCAGCTTGTAACAACCCACCGGGAAAATTCCTCTGGAAAATAACAAATTTTCAAGATGTTTCTCCATAGAAGCGGAAGGGACTAAACCTCATTCACCCCTTACATTTCTTCCATCTCTGGTTTCAAAATACACGGGGGTGACACAAAAAGTAAGGGGGAAATGAGGTTTCTATCTGGATCTCTGGCAGAAGAATGCAGGACAAAATCCACTGGTTTTTCGACTTCCCGCATTATAGATTTTCCACACGTACCCAGTTATGGTTTTCCTCCACTTGCAATATCTGCTTTTCTACACTCTCCCAGTTTTGGTTTTTCCAGACCCTCGCAGTTTTGGTTTTGCACTGCTTTGCAGTATCTGATTTTCCACAATAAAAATCATGTTTTTTGTAATATTTGTTTGTGTATTAATAATATTAATAATATTAATAATATTTACAATCGAAGCATTTTAACTAAAAATTTGTAATGCCTGAAGCATTCCCGGGTTTTGCTGGGCCGAATGCAGTTCTTAGATATCCATTTCTTGTCTGTCTTCTGAAAATATTAAAAATAATTTAGATATGAATGTAAGACCAGGAATAATAATAATTATTAGGTCTCCGCACAAAATTAAAGGATCTCTCCAGAAATTATGCCTGGTTTGCCATGACCGATCATTTACCCTCTGTTTAGACCAAGAAGTCTCAGTCGTCCTGGCTGAAATAAATGAATATTTTGATTAAGTTAAACAACTAAGTTAGTACTGAATTACTATTTATACAACCATTTAATGAACACCTCACACCATTTACCACTGGTAAAGATTAAAAACATTTCAAGTGTCACTGAAATGCAGAATTTGTGTTGAAGATAGCATCCGGAGGCGTATATTTATTAATGGCGAAAATATCTGTGATACTAACCTTTGTAACGCTGAAATAAAGGTTATAAAAAGACAAAATTCATTTTATCACTCACCTTCTTATTGTTTTTTAGATTAAAATTAACTGTTTTCACTTTTTTTCACTTTTTCCAACAAATTTAAAAATGATGTGACCCTGCATTATATTCTTGATAATACCATACAAAATGCAGATAAATGTGGGGTAAATTTCGTTGTAAAGTTGGGTCACACTTTGGCGCCGAATAAACATTTCGTTTAAACAATACTTTTCAGGGACCGTAATCATTAAAGGTTACGTATATTATAGGTATATTAGGCATTTTTCGTGTTATCAATACCACCAACACGAATTTTTATATTTTAACAACACTTAAAAATGGCTTAGGCCACGATCTGACGATCAAATTATTTTATTTCACAGAAAATGTTTAAAAATGTAAAAAACAACAATAGTTCTCTTTGTAATTTAATGTAATTCCTTGATAAATGTGATCAAATATTTGAATAGTCTTACCGTGGCTTTTCTCTATAATTTTGTTGAATCCCACATTCATTCTTATCATTTGTAAATATTTTGAGTAAAATAAATTAATATTATCATTATAGACATTATGATAATAGTTATATAGTTTAATTTTTTTGATTAACAATTACACTGTGCAGCATTTTTAGTGCTTTTTAAATTTACCCCGATGGATGCTATATTTTTGGATTCGTTACGAATTCCCAGGATAAACTGCGTTTTCAAAAAAGTTCCCCGACGCAAGGATTCTTAGCAAAAGGACCTCAAAGTTCGAAAAATGCAGAAATTGGCCAACTTTCCGGAGCTCTCAGAGGCAAACGGATTCATGGATTGATTCGATGCTAAAGTTTTTTAAAAGATACCTTCTTTATCTTTCAAACCCCATACTTAGAATATTTTTAGAATTTTTTTTAAGGCAGAAATAGATTTCAGAAAACATAGTCAAAAAACTTAAAAACATACAGCTGCGGTCAAAATAGTAGTAGTGTTGCCGCCCTGTGTTTTTAAAAGTTTGTTGTTGTAATTCATCTTCTTCTGGTGATATTGTATTGATTATAATTGTACTATTAGACTAATTGGATAAGAAAAGTGACAACAAAAAACTTTTAAAAACACATGACGGCAACACTACTACTATTTTGACCGCAGCTGTATACTTTTATGTTTTTTGACTATGTTTTCTAAAACTTGTTTCTCCCTTAATAAAAATCCTATAATTATTCTAAGTATGGGGTTTGAAAGATAAAGAGTGTATCTTTTATAAAACTTTAGCATCTAACCAAACCATGAATCCGTTTGCCTCTGAGAGCTTTGGAAAGTTGGCCAATTTCGGAATTTTTCGAACTTTGAGGTCCTTTTGCTAAGAATCCTTGCGTCGGGGAACTTTTTGAAAACGCAGTTTAACTTTGGAATTCGTAACAAATCCAAAAATATAGTATCCATCGAGGTAAATTTTTGATGCTGCATAGTGTTATTAATATTTTTTCTACGAATTTTAAAATTACTAAAAATTAAAAATAAATGTGAGAACAAGTCTCTTGGTTTTGGTGCAAATCATAGAATTTTTTAAATTTTATAAGTTGGTGATTTTTTTGTTAAAAAATATTATAATCGTGGTGCCACAGAAATCACACAGCGCATAAGTGTCCTGATATTGATGCTTCTCAGAAACCCACCCCCATTTAACGCTCAGAAATTATCTAACCCCACACCGCCGCCTGCAAAAAGGAACAGGATTTCAAGAACACAAAAACCAACTTCTCACATGCCCGCTGGGATGCCAACTGTGCGGTAATGATCTTACCGAGGATCATCTCCTGGACACCTGCAGCAGATTACAGAACATTAGATTTGCAATATTTGGCACACAGCGAGTATCAGACCTTTTAAAAACCTCCCCCCCCAAGAGAATATATTAAACATTAACAAAATTGTCAAACAAGCTAAATTAATCATATAACACATGTTTCGAGTCGAAGGCCCCGTTTTCTAGTACTCATAAAATTCATTAGATTTAGTATTGTATACTTGATTTAATTTTGTTAAATAAATATAAATAAATATTTGTAAACATTTTGAGTAAAATAAAATAATATCATCAATAAATATTATTATAGACATTTTGATTATAGTTATTTAGTTTAATTTATTTGATTAAAAATTATTAATATTTTTTCTACGTATTTTAAAAATACTAAAAATTAAAGATAAATGTGAGAGCAAGACCACACCGCCGCCTGCAAAAAGGAACAGGATTTCAAGAACACTAAAAACCAACTTCTCACTTTCCCGCTGGGTAGCTTAAAATTAATTGCGCGGGTCGAGGCTATGCGTTCGGCATTGCGAGTCCTGCGAAGTATTGCCTAGTTTGTATAGAAACGGACAGACGAACAAAGCCAGATGGAGTCGGCTAGTGATCCTGAAGAAGAATATATATATTTTATGTAGTCGAAAACGTCTTCTTCACTGCGTTGCAAACATCTGACTGAAATTAAAATACCCTCCGCAAGAATAAAATAATAATTTTTTGTATTTATTGGGATGGTATTGGTACCGTACCGTACTTTTACAAAATTTGTAAAGTTTTAGCCGCCAGACCTTTTTTAAAGTCCGCAGCTGTGTATTTTTACGTTTTAGGTCTATGTTTTCTTTTATTTTTTCTCCCATTAAAGTCTATTTATAACAGATAAAATATAAATTGAAAATATTCAGGTATGTGGCACCGGACCCTCAAGTAAGGCTCTGCTTACCACAGCTGGCATTTTTCAGGCTCAAAACTCCTTTGGCAGCCAAATGCCCTGTGAAACGGAACGAAACTGTTCAGCATTTGCTGCAAACGCATTTGGTCATTGTCGTGATCAACGAAGTTAGATTCGTCGCCGTCTCCGCAGAAAAACTGCGCCAAGTTGAGAAAAAAGAGTCTTTGCGGTGGAATGTTGTTTAAGTCTGTATGGTTCTCGTCTTTGGCGTTCTGAAAGTAGGTCAAATAGGCGAGATTTAGACCGGCAATATCCGCAATACGCTCGTCAATGAACTGCGTCTTGTTACGGTTCATGCACTGAAAACCTGCCTCGAAGAGCGGTAAGCTTAATATTTGTGTTCCAATGTCGTGAATGTTTCCGTGACTGTCGAATAAAAGACCGGTGGTATCAACGGAATGAATCAGCTCATGAGCGAGAACGAATCCGAGCAGGCTGTACTTAAACACGCTGTGACTGTCCGGGACAAAAAAAGGTTCCTGCAGAGTCCCGTGTGGCACGATAATAATATTTTGGCGCATTAAGTAGTACGGGCTGGAGCTCATAGCCGTATTCGGATCTGGTAAGTAGAAGTATTCATCGGGGTTGGAAGCCGGATGATGGAGCTGTGCTACAGTCTTTCGGTTTCGAAACTCCAGAAGCTTGAGATGTTCCCGACTATAGTCAAAGTCTACCGACGGAAACACCAGGTCCTCATAGTGTCTGCTAACGAAGGTACGATGATCTAGGCCCTTAGGCATGTTGCCAATGTTGAGGACGATTTTCTGAGCCTTTGTGGCGACCACTCTGTTCTGCTTACTGGTCAGTCCTAGTCGGTTTTGATCGATTTGTAGCAGGAACTGTCGACGCAATTGCTCAAAGACATCCATAATTTCCTGGGTGTACTGCTGCAGTGTACTGGGGTCCAAGAAGCGGTCCTTGTAGATTAGGTTTGAAGCGAGATTCATGCTACGGCGGACATCCTTTATGCACTCGATAGGCTCTTTGCTGTCCATTGAGTCATCCAGGAGGTATCGCACAAACCGGGTCATGATATAGTTAACCACCGTCTGGGCGTCTGACGAGTTCATAAGTCGTCTCAAAGCGATAAAGTAGGGCAAATTCTGCACCTGTAATCGGAAGTTAGGAGAAATTTGATGGCCAACTATTAACTCGACGAACATCTGCCAGTCGTATCCGGTTCTGCGCTCCCACTGGCACACACTTATAAACTGGCTTTCATCATCGTCGTCTGATTCGGTTAATACCCGTACAGCATATTCCAACCTTCTAATCTTCTGCGCGAGAGGTAGTACACTATTCGAAGGCACACTCATTGCACGAAGAGTTCCGAGTGTATCAACGAAACTGTTCAGGTGTTGCCCCTCTCCATCGAAACTGGGCTTACTGATGTCCAATAGGAATTCACTGCTATTCTGAACATTCGGTGTCACAATAACGTTCACTAAAACATTGGTGAATCCGTATCGGTGGAGATATCCCAGGGTCTTTATCCACTTAAACTGATTTTTGGGCCACGGTGTCCCATGGGGTGTGAACTGAGGCCAAGTTAGAACCTCATCCGGAGGAGCCAGTCTCAGGTAGTGCTCTGCACTGCGCGTGCTTTGTGAAGCGTCGCGGCAGGTGAGGTAGACGCGCAGGACTTTGGCCTCCACACTCGACACGTTGAAGTCTGGCGCCTGGGAGCGCTGGTGTAGTTCAACCATCAGTTGGACGAGGTTCCTGTTCACCTTGTAGTCTAACATCTGTGTGATCTCGGTGAAGGGGTCGTCGGTATGGCGCTCCGCGTATTTGCCGCACGCATGTTGGTAAAAATTGTCGCACGCACTGGCATCTTCAGTCATATAGCTGACGATGTTGTTTAGCAGCCGTGTGTTGGTATTGGATTTTTTAGCTGTACAATCCGCAAAAATGGGAACAAACAACAGGCAGGCAATCCACATCATTGCGGTCGAAAAACTGAATAAAGAGCCCTGATTACATGTACCGACTGATATGTGTGTATTACTCTAACAGGGGGAGCGCTGATAGCTTTCGCAAGAGATAACCCAAAACATCTTCAATTGAGATGTAGAATAAGAAATAGCTTCTGACTTTCAAGTCTACTCTGCACTTACTTGTACTTTGGTGACTCAGTGATCATTTGATCGTTTTCTCGAGTCCAATAATTCAGTGAAGTCGGGTTTGCCTCGATAAAGCACTCAAGGGTGATATTGAATCCCATTGGTATGCCCACTAGCTGATGCGGTATCCAGACCATAGGTGAGACTAGAAGAATACCCACAAGAAAGTAGTTTGACTGTGGCTTAACTCAACCAGGTTATTCATCAACTTACAGTCCACGCTGACTTTTATCCTCTTCGACACGCTTGGCGGAACTCCGTTTGAGGCTATACACAGATAGGCGCCCATATGCAGGCGCGAAATCCGTTCCAGTTCTAGGAAGTCCGCTTCCAAGTCGGGCACTGCACAAATTTCAAGAAAGGCGCTTATTTAAGTAACAGTCTAAAAGCTGAAATAGAGATAGTCTCACCTTCGAGCGTCTTGTTAATAACTATTTTGTTCCCGTCATCTCGTTTCCACTTAATGGTTGGCTCTGGACTGCCTTTCGCCTTGCAGCGCAGCGTCACGTTATCACCCTCTCGCACGATGATGTCACTAGAGGTCAGAGCATCATCTATATTGGGCGGAACTGAAGGAAAAAAGTGGGCATTAAAAGTGCTTTGAATGAAGTATAAAATGGACTTTATTAAAAACTTTTCCACGTTCATGTAAGGAAAAATCAAACAGATATTGTAAACGCTAAACAGCGCTTGTAAAATGAGACAATTTAACTATCATTCAAAATTAGCTTAGGGAAAAATTTCTGTTACTTTCGGCGACAAAATTCTTTCTATCAGCGCTCGGCAGTAGTGGTTGGGTTGGGTTGGTCATGAGTGAGTGAACAAAAAAGAGTGGCTCACTAAACAGTTCACTTGGTTATTTTTGCTCACTTCCTCATTTGCTCTCCTGCTGTTTTTGGCTCAAAAAGTGTTTTTTTTATCTCTTTGGATGCATTTTGCATTTTTCAGTTAATCAGCTGTTTTCTTAGAGTCAATAAGAAAGTTAAGGGCAGAACAAGTGTGCAAGTGAGCAAGTGAACAATTGAAGAAAATTGAGAGAGAGAACGCTATGTCGGGTGCCCCGAAAATAATAGAAAAAATAAAACAAACGTTCGCAAATAACGCGATAATTTAGGCCTATCCCCGTTACAATCCTAAGGAAAAGTGCAGTGTTTATGTTTTATCATATATTTTACTAAAAATTTACAAATTTGGCTGCCCAACTAGTTCCCAGCAACGCTTTTAGGTAGTTAAAAGTCACCATTCTGTTTTTAAGTTGTACAAGTACAAAATCGCTATTTAAGGACTTGCAATCCCTCAAAACGTCTTTAAATTACTCTGCTTAAAATGAAGAAAACCCGGAAAATATTGACAACAATTTTAAGGTTATCTGCGGTTTTAATGTTAAAAATTATTTAAAAATTAAAAAATTTTTTTATTACATTTTTTGTTTGGTAGCTGAAAAAATTACTTTAAAAAATTTTTTTAGTAACATGTAGGGGAGAGTGGGGCAATTTCGTCAGCATTTTTTCAAAGCTATTTTTTGTCCATCTTGAGACAATATGATATATATTTCTATTTTTATTGTTGAATGCGGTTAGCACCAAGCTTTAAAAGCTTTTTATTAATTGCCTTGGTGATTTATAAAAAATTAAAAAGTAAAACCAATATACTGTGGCTATCTCGCCACATAGGAGAGGTAAAAAATTTCCCCACACAGTACTTTTTTAGAAATAATTATTTTTCTTCCGAAATTAGGCGCGAAGTTAAAAATCACTAACGCAGAAATGCACATTATAGCACTGTGTATTATATGGGGACTTCCAAAATGTCGCTCGGGACATTTGCACACATTTAAAGTTGAAAAAAAATTGTAAAACAATGGATTTTAATTTTAATTATGGGCTTTTCTTTTCACTCTTTCCAAGCTCTATTTTTTGGTAAAAATCTTGATTTTGTACCGCTTTTAGTTTTTAAGATATCGGTAAAAAACTGCCGTATTCGCTCGGGACAAAAATAGAAGTGGATTTCGGGGAAGTTCATACAACACCAGAAATTAGCGAATTCTGATGGAATATTTTACTGCGATTTTTTTTAGAATGTTGTTCAAACATGTCGCTGTGAAATGCTTTTGGTTTTACTCAAAAATTCCTTGCCGTTTTTTTTTTATGCAGTCTCAACCACATTCGCTCGGGACATGTCGCTCGGGACATTTTTTCCGACGGTTTTGTAAAGCGAATTTCTTTACCTCTATCTCTCAATTGCTGGATGTTTTGCTTTTAACTTAATAGTTTACCACATTCGCTCGGGACATGTCGCTCGGGACATTTTTTCCGACGGTTTTGTAAAGCGAATTTCTTTACCTCTATCTCTCAATTGCTGGATGTTTTGCTTTTAACTTAATAGTTTAGCATGTGAATGAAGCATTCAGTACAGAAAAATGTCACATATTAGCATTCCTATAGGATAAATTAACAACAGAAGACAGGTCCAAAAAATAACAAAAAAATAGCCAAAAACTGATTTTTGCGTAAATTGGTGGAGTTTGTCATAAAAATAATCAAACTATACTCCAAATTTGTAGTTAAGCTCAGTATCCAACTAATTAGAAACTAATATCGGGGCAAAATCATGTGGAAATATGTTTTTTTCAAGTTTTAAGGTTTTTGGCTTGGTGGACTTTTTTTTGGAAGTGCCCATATAAAAAAAAAATGTATCTTATCCCTTTTCAATTGTGGCATACAGAAAAAAAATCGTCGAGAACTAAATGTAGCTTTTGAACTATTAAAACACATTTAATAAAACAAAAAAATTATATATTTTTACGACTTATGGATTCCGAGATATTGCAGGTGACATAATTGCCCCAGTGACGAAATTGCCCCACTCTCCCCTAATTATTTTTAAACGCAAAAGGGAGGGGGGTTAAAACTCAGGCATTTCGGCCTCCAATGTGCTTATATTCAAAGCAAAACAATGGAGAACGCTATAGTCCGGTTGGTATTCCGACAATCTTATACCCGTCACTCACCTAAAGGGAGTGCGAACGCTGTACTCGGGTTGGTGTCCCGACTATCTAATAATCGTAACTTAGCTAAAGGGAGTGCGAGGGAGATAGATATATAAACAATTTTGATGCGTATAACTTTTTAATGAATGGTCCGATTTGAAAAATGTCTGCTACATTTTGTTAGGTATAAATATACACAAAAAAAAAGCATTTATACTTCTCAGAACTTTTTAAAGATGTGGGCGCAGGACACATTTTAAAATGGTTAGTGGGCGGTTGTTAGCGTTAGAGGGGGCGTGGCGCTCGGCTGAAATATACTTGCGCTTTGTAGGAGGCCCAAGAATATGTGTTAAAATCTCAACCTTCTAGCTTTTGTAGATTCCGAGATCTGAGCGTTCATACGGACGAACAGACAGACAGACAGACAGACAGACGGATATGGCTAGATCGGATCGGCAAGTGACCCTGATCAAGAATATATATACTTTATGGGGTCGGAAATGCTTCCTTCTAGCTGTTACATACTTTTGCACGAATACAATATGCCCTTTTAATCCACGAGTAATGGGTATAACGATGTATCTTTGGCTTCGTTATAGTTGGATCCTTGACTTCGCCGACTGTTAAATGTAGACCCTGGCAATATTATGGTAAAGCTAGGAATCATTTGAAACGAATAATTCGTAAAATTTATGGCCTGATTGAGGAAGTGAATATGATTTTCTCAAATTGATTTTAGAAATTATTTTAGAAAAAACTTACTTCGAACCATAATGCTTTGGACGAAAATACCAATCACAATGACAGTAGTAGCTCACTCCTCAGTACATTTCTTAACACGATCGAGGTTGACGATATTGAGAAAGAACCAGAAGATTAAATGCTCCAAAACGGATAAATTGAAATTGATAACTACAATCCGAAACCATTGGATATATCTAGTAGGAAAATAACACACAAAATACTATACAAATTTTGTATTACAAATGTATAATACTTGAAAATGATTGATACGCACAGTATACTATTCCTTGTGTATTATAAAATAAAATAAAAAACTCGAGAAAAATACATGTATTTTATTTTGATATGTACATTAAGTCGTGTACTTTATTTCTGACGTGTACGAAGTAATTTCGATTTCGTACATCACTGTTAGTGAGTAGTATTGACAAAATAATTTCTTTTACTCCATGTATTAGCATTTTCTGCGTCTCCCATCAGGGTTAATGAAAAAAAAGGATTACACAGGCCGACAAAATGTGACATGGGTCGATGTCCAGGCCTGCAACCATTTTATTTCGATAAATTTGGCTTTTCTAAGCATAAGTTGACACTACGCCTATAGTCCATCAGCTCTGGTATTCGCGGTATCTTTAATTTAAGAAAATCACAAATTTTCTTCGTCTTTTGGGATATATCTTCAAGAGTGGTCAACCAATTTTGGTAATATTTTCGGAAATAAATAGTTACATGTCTCTTTTATACGGTCGTTTTGGAAAATTAAATCTAACTGAACCACAAGAGAAGGTGGGCGCATTCAAAATTTCAAAGTCACAGCAAAGTTTAAAAATCTTCATTTGTGAACAGCGTTTAAAAATTAAATAAAAATATTTTCTTCTACAATGCATTTTTGATCCAAAGACACCTTATGACTTCAATTTTTAGAACACTCATCAAAATTTTGTGAATTGTTTTGGAATTTTTAAAATTGTTTTTCTTACTTCCTTCACAGTGACGACTCACAAACAGTGCCCAAACCTGTTACTATTTTACGTAACGAATAACTATTTTTGAGCACAAGTGACCCTTGCTTTAAAAATATTTATACATGGGCGTAAGTAAAAAGCTGGAGGGGGATTACACTTCAGTCATTTCAGCCCCCAAAGATTAGTAGGCTACGCTCATGTGCTTACATTCAAAGCAAAACTACTTAGATCGTTTAGAAATATGTTATTTAAAATTGTGACAGGTTTGGGCACTGTTTGTGAATCGTCCCTGTGAAGGAAGGAAGAAAAACAATTTTAAAAATTCCAAAACAATTCACAAAATTTTGATGAGTGTTCTAAAAATTGAGGACATACGGTGTCTTTGGATCAAAAATGAATTGTAGAAGAAAATATTTTTATTTAATTTTTAAACGCTGTTCACAAATGAAGATTTTTAAACTTTGCTGTGACTTTAAAATTTTGAATGCGCTTACCTCCTCTTGTGGTTGAGTTAGATTGATTCCAAAACGACCGTATAAAAGAGATGTGTAACCATTTAATTCCGAAAAGATTACCAAAATTGGTTGACCGCTCTTGAAGATATATCCCAAAAGACGAAGAAAATTTGTGATTTTCTTAAACTAAAGATACCGCAAATACCAGAGCTGATGGACTATAGGCGTAGTGGCAACTTATGCTTAGAAAAGCCAAATTTATCGAAATAAAATGGTGGCAGGCCTGGACACCGACCCATGTCACATTTTGTCGGCCTGTGTTAGGTATATAAACGTTAAGTACTCCTAATGTTTCTATAAAAAATTGGTATCTAAAATATGTGTGGTTTTTCTGATATTTTCAAAAGACTTTTATT